GAGTAGCACTCAGCACACATCGAGAAATTAACATTTTTAACGGATAGTACCCAGCACACATCGATAAATTAGTATTTTTAACGGAAAAATATTTCTAGGAAAACGCCGATTAACTGTACTTTCCAGAGAATCACGTTGGATTCCGTTGCCAAATCATCCGCGAATAACCAAACCGATAAGCGCTGTAAACACCGAAAAGCTTGTACTATCAAAATCAGAAGTGCGAATGAATTTCACAATATTTGGTGGTGTCGATAAAATGTCACTGCATTTGACACCGCTCAGTGGTTTCCTCGTGAGCAGTTGGTCATTCACAAATTTTGAGCCAAGCACATTCGGCAAGCGAAATACCTACTTTGTATTTCTTACTTATGGTGCTGAAGCTCCCGAGCATCGAGCATTCTGGATTATCCTAAGGAAGGTCCGTTTTTCGACTTAATTTTTGCAAAATTCGGTGAAAACTTGCTTCCTTGATACTTGATACGGCGTTTCCGTCACTGAGGCGCTGTTGATCTTCTCCAGTGACTGCTGAGCCGACAACCAGGCCACCGAGTTCTCTCCTGAGCTCACCTCATCCACAATACTCCATATAATCGAGTTAGAGGATCGGACCAGCGCATCAGTGGCCTTCCTACTGGTCTTTTTACATATCGTGGGTACCAATCGATGACGCGTTTCGTCCATCTGTTGTCAGTCATTCTTGCTGCGTGACCGGCCCAGGTTCTTTTCCTTGCATACAGCTCTTCTTTTCTTTGCACTTAAGAAAAAGAGATTGGAAGTAGGCAGATATTCTTTCTTTGTTTACTGTTATCCAAAATTTCACCAGCGATGTCGGACAGTCGGTGTAGAGCAACCACACGTAAGAAGCACTAGCGGCCATACGTAGAAGCGCCGGTTACTGTTCGTTGTTGTTGAAATGCGACCACACGTAAGAAGCACTAACGGCGTTAAGTTTCTTTTTACTCTTGCAGCCAGCGCTTCAGTCTTTATTGTGAGAGGCCATGTTTTTTATGTCTTTGTCAGTATCCGAGCCTTTTTTTAACGAGAAATATCATTTTCCGTTTTTATTTGCTCTTTTTGTTGGTCGGTGTGGGTTATTAGAAGGAAAGAGGGAGCGAAGAGGGGAGGGGGAAAGGAGGGCAGGCATTTTTCTCCCAAAAGATTAAATAAATTTGTTCGATCCTTAAACAGAACATTGAATTTTTATCCACTTTTGTGATGCTTTTTTTTTAAGATTAACAGCGATGGTATTAATGAAGAGGATCTCGATGAAACACCTCTTTTAGAAATATCAGTGGCAACTCACTACGCTCATGGTTAGTCTAATTCATGTGAGCTGCAAAGTAAAATTTGAATTTTTTTTTTTTTTTTTGAAAAAGTTGTATATAAAATTCTTAAAAAATTATTATTATAAAATTCTATAAGTTTTGTTTTTTGAAAATATTTGGACATAGTCTGAAAACTGTTGGGATTCTTAAAAGTTGTTGCAGAAATCATGTACTTTTTCTTGATTTTATGGCACAGCATGAAAGTTTTTGAAAGGTTTGCACTCATGGTTTAATGAATTACGAAATTGGCTTAGGGATCGATGAAGAAAGCAGCTAGCTGCGAAAAATAGTGCGAATTGCAGGCACATTGAGACCACTCAAATTTCGATCGCATATATTTAAATTTATCCCATATTTCAGCTTATTATTATGTAGATATCTTGCTACAAGGATTTTTAATCAAAATTTTTATTAATCAGAATTTTTGGTGGATACTACATCGTTTCCAAACTATTTTGTGGCAAAATTTTTCACCATTTCAGGTCCACATCAGTATTCCGAAACCCTTTCGCAGCTACGATCTCTGATCACATCACGTCGAAAAACTCCACATTTAGCGGTCGGTTGGTGGAAATGGGCAATTACAACAATTGCTGGAGTTGCCGAAATTGTTGTGCATATTTTTTGATTTTTTTTTTTGAAATTTTTGCCCAAATTTTTGACTTCCAATCTATTGTGACATCGATTTGTATAATCTTTGCAATTTTTACAGTATAAGCTATTAATTTGTGGCTATTTTCTAAATTAATTATCTTTTTTCCCCAATTTTTACACATTATCATATTGTAACGGATCGCTAGCAGTGTTTTTAATTTGGCGAAGACATGTGACCGGTGGTAAGTCGGTGTAAATTTGATCGGCCAGAGGGATAACAAGGAAAGAAGGGGAGGGGG